TCACTCAGAGCACAATGACCTTCACAGATTTTCTCTTCTGTACTTTTACCTTTTCAAATGCAAACAGCAACACCAGCTTAACAGGGGAAGAAGTTTCTTACCCTCAATCACTCTATTATGTTTGAGCCCCACCTTGGCACTACTTACAGGTCACAAAGGGCTGTTCCATTCCCTGGTGGGCCCTGTCCCCCTACCTCCAGGGTCTAGTTCCCATCAGAGATTTCCCAGGAAAGTCTGACATCTTCATCCCCAGTCCAGGCAGTCTAAGCCAGGCTCAGCTGACAAAGTGCCCTCAGTTCTCCTTTTCCTAACTAAAGTTTCTAGGTTGACAACCCCCACTCCCCACCCCAGCCCCAGGGGAATCCATTCTGTACTCAGTTATTTTCATACATTCAGCAGATGAGACTCCTGTGTGGTAAACCCAGGAGACTTTCATTTTTTGATCTGTAAAGTGGCTTTGCATAACTCTGCTCTGCTTAACTGATTTATTTATTTATTTAAGATTTTATCTATTTATTCATGAGAGAGACACACACACAGAGAGAGGCAGAGACACAGGCAGAGGGAGAAGCAGGCTCCATGCAAGGAGCCTGATGTGGGATCTGATCCCGGGTCCCCAGGATCACACCCTGGGCTGCAGGCGGCGCTAAACTGCTGCGCCACCTGGGCTGCCCATGCTTAACTGATTTAATTTAATTTCTTTGATTTCAAATCCATGAGGCCCTCCTCACGGCTCACGGCTCTGTCAACTTGTGAAGGTGGCCATCCTTTCGAGTGCTCACTTCTGTTGACAGCTCATGGGCACAGCCTAGGCTGCTTTTTTTATTATTTTATTTTCCCCCAGCTTTATTGAGATATAAGTGAAATACAACATTGTGTAAGTCTAAGGTGTACAGTGTGATGATCTGATGCATGGAAATATTACGAAATGATTACCAGATTAGTTAACACGTCAATCACCTCACATAGTTACCTTTTTGTTGTTGTGATTATAGTGAGAACATTTAAGGTTTAGTCTCCTAGCAACTTCCTTTTTTTTTTTTCCTAGCAACTTTCAAATACTGTTTTGTTAATCGTAGGCACCAGGCTGTACATTAGATTCCCAGAATTTCCTCATCATATAGCTATAAGTCTGTACTCTGACCAACATGTCCTCAACTTCCCCACTCATCCCACTCACCTCACTTTCCCCACTTCCCAGCTGCCCACCATTGCACTTTCTGTTTCTGTGAGTTTGACTTTTTTAGATTCTACATGTAAGTGAGGACATGCGGTATTTGTCTTTCTCTGACTAAATTATTTCACTTAGCATAACACCCTCTAGGTTCATCCATGTTGTCACAAACAGCAGGATTTCCTTCTTTTATGACTGAGTAGTATTCCACCTTATATAAAATAAATAGATTTACTTTATACACACACACACACACACACACACACTCAATATGCCCTTTATCCATTCATCCATAGATGGACACTTAAAAAGTTGTTTTCATATCTTAGCTATTGTAAATGAAGCTACAATGAACATGAGAGAGCAGAGGTTTCATCTCCTTTGGATATATACCCAGAAGTGGGATTGCTGGACAATATGAGAGTTCTGTTTTTAATTTCTTGAGTAGCCTTCATACTGTTTTCCATAGCGGTGGCACCAATTTACATTCTCACCAACAGTGGTCAAAGGTTCCCTTTTCTCCACCACCTCACCAGTACTTGCTATCCCAGTGAGCCAGTTCTGATCCTTCTCTGCCCTTTCCTTTCTCCTCAGTTACCTGCTCACTCAACAATCAAATATGGAGTGCCCACCAAGGTTCAGGTTCAGAGCCATCTGCTTGGGAATCAGGATGCATACATCTTGGTGGGCCTTACCTTCAAGAACCCATAGTGAGTGAGTCATGAAGTGTGATATGGTCAGAGCGATGATGGAATTACCAATTTAAGAGGATGGAAGAGGAGCCCCAAACTAAGGAAGAGGAGAGTGACCTTGGGAGGTTTCCTAAGGGAGAAGATGCCCCTTCCTTTGTCTTAAAGGATTAGTCCACAACAGCCTGATGAAGATGAGCGGATGCGAATATGCATTTACAATCCGTCTAACAAGTGTGCTTTGAGACCTGCCACATGCCAGGCAAAATCCTAGGTGCTGGGGAGACAGCAATGAAAAAACCAGAAAGTTCACACTTATGGGAAGAAACAGTATAAGCAAATAAGTAAAATATATACATCATGACATATATATGTCATAAGGTGCTAAGAGTTAGAGAAAAATAAATCAGGGAAGGAGATTTAGTATATATGTGGGTAAGGAGGTGACTTTGAAAAAGGGTACTTTTAGGGGTGCTTGAGTGGCTCAGTCAGTTAAGCATCTGCCTTCAGCTCAGGTCATGATCTCAGGGTCCTGAGATTGAGCCCCACATTGGGCTCCCTGTTCAGCAGGAAGTCTGCATCTCCCTCTCCCTTTACCCCTCCCCATTGCTTGTGCTCTCTCACTCTGCTGTCTCTTTCTCTCAAACTAAAAAATAAAAACAAGTAAATAAAAATGGTAGTTTTAAATATGGTAGCTAGGGAATGCTACTCCATTTTTACCAATCCCCTTCATCTTCATTGTGGTTTTTAACTATTTGCAAAGTGTTCTTGCATCTATTAGCTTATTCAATTCTTAAAATAATCCTGTGAAGAGGTAGGGAAAATTAGTCTCCCGGTTTCTGTTGCTCCCTGTATTAATTTGCTAGGGCTGCCATAAAAAGCACCACTTAGCAGCTTAAACAATAGAAATGTATTGTCTCATAGTTCTGGAGGCTGGAAGTTCTAGTCCGAGATCACAGCGTCGACTGAGTTGGCCCCTCCTGAGGACTGTGAGGGAAGCTCTGCTCCTGGCCTCTCTCCTGGCTTGTAGACGGCTGCCTTCTTGCCTCTCAACCTTGGTGTCCCTCTATCTGGTCCGTCTCTGTGTCCAGATTTCTTGTTTTCATGACACCAGTCCTATTGGGGGGACACACCTAATGCCCTCTTTTTAGCTCCATTACCTCTTTACAGGCCCTATCTCCAAGAAGGCCACATTCTGATGTACTGGGGGTTAAAGTCCAACATATGAGTTGTGGTGACGGTGGGAGGTGAGGGACACAGGTCTACACGCAACATCCCCCAAATCACTGAACTTGGCATTTCACAACCAAGATACGTGGAAGCTGGTGCTGGCCAGCTCGAGGCTACACAGTACAAGACGGCTCGTGCCATCCATGATCACTTGCAGTTCACAAGCCTAATTACCTACCATCATTTATCCAGGCCTAAAGGCACTTCACATGAAGGGTTTTACTTGACTCATTTGAAAAACAAAGCAAAACAAAACATTAAAGGACCCGACAGATCTAGGTTGAACTAGATTTTTTATTCCAGAATTAGTCACCTCTTTAATTCTGAGAAACCCTGAAAACTCCAGATTAAGCAAGGCCTGGGTGAGCTGCTAAAGCTAAGAGACCAAGTAGAAGTAACAAGCAAGTAGGATAAATTAAGAGGGACGTGAACCCAAGGAAGAAAAGAGTATTGGGGAAAGAGGAACTGCAAACCCTTTGGTCACCTTGGAAATTATACCTCCTCACCAAAGATTAAGTCATACATGTAAATGTATTTTGAAAGGTTGAAAATGTTACAATTATGAAGTAGTCTTTTCTGAGGTACGAAAACAGCGCATTGTCCCCTCTGGAAGCGGTACTGCCAGGTTTTATGGTGGACTACTTCCTAATCTTTTCTTCCTTTAATTTTTTGGTCACAAATGAAATATCATAACTCTCTGAGTTGCCAACATCCATTTTCTTTGCTTTGAGGAGGTTGCTCTTTTCAATTAACAAGTTTGAAAATGTCCGAGTCACATTGACCTCTAGGCCAACCTAACTGGGGGTGTCAGGTCGGAATGCTCTGCTTTCTCCGGAGGTCCTGGCATAACTCTTATTGTAGAAGGCAAGAGAGTCAGAATACATGCCTCTGGCTCTCATATCTCACTCCTGCCTTGGTCTAAATCCCCTACGTGTAGCAATTCAGCTGTGTTCCAGAGCCTTCCACCCAGTGAGTCTCAAAAGCTACCCAAGGCACACGATGGACTTCAAACTGACCCAAGAAAGTTAATCTTCTCTTTAGTCCTTTGGGACAAACTATTTACAAATCCATATGCTCGTTTTAATGTACATCTAAGATGTACTTGCTAATAGCAGCTAAGTGAATTATGAAAGGTTAATCTAATTTGGAATTCATAAACCAGAATCACTGAGCTACCAAATATTTTTGAATCCTCAAAAATACTAAAATATTAAATATAAAATATTAAATAATAAATATTAATAAATATAATAAATAATAAATAAAAATATTAAAAATAATTTAATATTCCACCAAGAAGTCTGGCTTCCAGGGAAAGTTCTGGTGGAGCCTTGCCCACATTCTCTGGATGGCATTCTCTGGACGGCGCTTTGTCATTACTCTGTGTTGCCCTGTGTGAATCAAAATCTTCAAGTGCTGCCATTCTTGCTTTTAATTATAATTTACTGTGAACTCAGCTTCATCATTATCAAGTTAGTTGTGATCTGTTTAGTTAAAATAACTACTGTCGCATATCTGCTTCGACTGTATCTTTTGGCCTTTAATTTTCCAGTAATTACACATAAAGACAATTACGCATTGCAATTTGAATATGAATCATTTATGCCCTAATTGCTAAAGCACATGGACACTTAAGCTCCCCAAATATACCTTGTAATGACCCCTTAATAGTATTCTTGAATTATTTTTCCATGAGTACCTGGGAAAGGAAGGGGCTGATTGGCTGTGAACTATTTGGCCCAGCTTAAAGGGAGCTCAAGGAGGAAAAAGAAAAGATTGCAAACCACTGTTTTAGACTCTAGGAATAAACAACTAAATTTACTGCACATTTTGCAAATAGCTTGTAAATGGCATGTGCAAACTCGTTTCCCTTGGTAAATGGCTGGGAAATAAATATCCACACTTACCTTTCTCGAACCTCTACTCAGCTGCAGGCGCACTGGTTGTAGCAGGAAGTAATGCCGCCTGGCTGATCAGGCTGCCAGTGGTGATCGGGAGTGAGGTGGGGCGAACTTTAGAGCAAAGGTTTCAGGGCAACTGTAAATATGATTGGCAGAGTCACAGACAACGCCGAGCTCTGCAAATATGGTCACAGTTTGAAGCAATAAGCTTCTGTTCAGGGTTGTGGAACCTGCCGGTTACATATCAGTAAATGGCCAGTGTCCATGGAAAGTCCAAAGTGACTTGGAGAGAGAGGCTTACTTTGGGGTTCCTTTGGGCATCCAAGAGTTCAGGAATCCCCCAACGTTAGCCCTGGGCTGACCTGAGGCACCACCATGATCTCAAATGTTTACTCCCCCGTGGATCCCACTGAATTTTATTTGTATTTCTGTTATAGCATCGTGCTCTGCTTTGTTTTGTAGTGGTTTATAAGGTCTAAGGACCTCGTGGACTTTGTTTCTTTGGGGCAGGACCAGGTTCTACTCACCTTTCGGAGACAGCTTGGCAGAGGGCCAGCCGCAGAAACCTGGAGTGAACCCTGGCTCACCACTGATGGCTAAAACAATGACTTTAGGACAAACAGCAAAGATACTGTTAGCTTACATTATGACTTAATCCGGAGATTAAAATAGTTTCAGATTACTTCCCTACCCTTTTCTCATAAATAGATAGACGGATGGGTGGATAGATGACGGCTAGATAAATAGAGATAGAGATCTATATCTCAATCATTCTCTTTTCACACACACGCACACCCAATCAGCTCTGCTTCTTTCTGTAATTGCCCTTCTTTTGTCCTACTATAAATGAGCTTCTTTCACACAAGTGGTGGCAGCGATTGTAAATACTTTGTTTTCTTTATTTTCTGCTTAGCAACCTAGAGGGAAAGTCCTCTTTCTCCATATCAGTCCACACAAGCCCAAAGAAGTCTGATTAGCCATATCTGGGTTGTATGCCCACCCTTGGGAGGGGAGGCGGGTTTTTATTGGCCCACCAGAATCTTCTGGTGTCGTGGGGAGAGGAATTCCACAGAGGAAAGGTCTTTCTAGATGCTCTTACCAAAAAATAAGAATTGAGGTGGGGAAATAGCAACCATCTATTTCATTTTTTTTAAATAAATTTATTTTTTATTGGTGTTCAATTTCAACCATCTATTTCAATCAGTGGGATGCTACATGTAAGGCAACAGGGTCTGGGACCAAAATAGATGCTAAACTGAGCCACCCATGTCTTACTTTTTTGAGGCAGCTTCAGGCCCTCCATTCTCGGGGTCTCCTACCTCCTTTCTTAAGTACTTTTGTCCCAGTCACACCCAGGGAGATCATGGAGAAGCTGTAGCTAAAGGCAGAGACCCTGCCCTGTTTGCCTCCCTCAGGGGGGCACGAGAGAAAATATGCTTTTGTTTTGGAAGAGAAGGAAGGGTGATAGGGAAATCCGAAGGCTGTAAGTAGTAAAGAAAGGAAAGTGAGCAGAGAGGCCGTTATAAGACCTATTCTCCGGGTGCTTGAGGAGTGGTGAGCTGGGGCACAGCCAACCCCAGCAGAATTAGGGACCCGGTTCAGAGATGCCAATAGACTGGCAGGCAGGGTTTCTTTTCTCTTTCTCCCCACCCTCCTCGGCCCCCTCCTGCATTTTCTCTTCTCTGCTATTGACACTGCATCAGAGAACTCAAGGCAGGGTTCCTTCCCTTGCCAGAGGCCGTACAGGGAGTGCTAGACTCTAGAGCTCAAGTGCCTTAAGCAGGAAGCAGTGATTTAACTCAGGCCCAGGTGAGGCCTGGGGGTAGAGGACCTTTCACGTTTCCATCCGGTAACCTGCTTTTTGAGGCTTTGCTTTGAGTCCATGGCAGAGAAAACACCTGTGAGGAGGGGTTGCTGCCAGACGAAGGCTCCTGAGAATGTGGTAAGTTGGCCCTAGTGATGGATTCAGTGCCAGTAGAAACCATGTCCCCAGGATCGGGAAAAATCAACACCTACGCAAGGATTTGCACTGAGTCCTGGTTGATTTTTTGTTGTTGTTTCCATTGGGAGCATATGCCGAAGTGGTGCAGAGAGAAGGAAGTTTTCTAAGTTCTCGGGCCATAGTTGGGGGCTAACAGGAGGTTGGGCACAGAAGAAGGTCAATGAAGGGAGTTTCAGTAGTCCCTTCTGGACAGTTGTGATGTACAGAAAAGAAGATGGGATGTGGAATCAGGAGATCTGAATTTAAAGCCTGACTCAACTTCTCATTCACTGTGTGATCCTAGACAGGTTACTTAGCTCCCCTGTGCCTCAGTTTCCTCATGGGAAAACATGAAAACCATAATATTTTATGGGGCTGTTGTCAGGACAAAAAGAGCAAATATTATTCATGTGTTATTCCATTTCTCTGGGTCTGCTCCCTTCCTCAGGAAGCTGTAGGGTGTCATCGTTAAGAGCTCAGACTCTGGAATTTGACAGAGCTGGGTTCAAATGCCATTTTGGATTACAGATAGAGATATTTATGTATGGAATGATCGAATGCCTGGGATTTGCTTTAAAATATGGCAGGAAGGGGAGAGACGGTGGGGTCTCGAAGACGCAAGATTGGTCATGGGTTGATCGATGTGGAAGCTGGGTGATGGATACATGGAGGTTTATTCTAGAATTGCCCTACCTTGCATATGCAGGCAGTCCTCACTTTGCATGGGTTCTCATATGCATGGATTGCAGTTGCCAGGGTTTAGCTGGATAACAGCAGTCTCCCCACAACACAGTTCAAATTTCAGTTACCACAATATATTAACTGTGAGTAATTGCATACAGCACAAACTCTGCTGCCGGCTCTCCAGGGCTCAAATCACTGCATCGAAACCCGATGCACGTCCTGATCAGTGATCTGTAGCATCACTGCTTCTAAAGACCATCAGTTGGGTTTTGGTCACTGCCCATCTGTTGTTCACAGGCACACAGGAAAGCCTGTGCTGGGTTGCCTCTTTGTCCCCCAGGAATAAACCCACACGACATTTCACCCAAATGGATAATCAAGAGAGAAAGAGAGAGAGAGACTTGGCCAACAGAAATGAAAATGCACCAGAGAAATGAAAAGTGGTAACACTGTAAGTGAAAAGAGAAATTCGAGCTGAACGTTGATGGAATGACAGACCGACAACCAACTGTGGGTGTGTTGGCAGTGCCTGCCGCCACTCAGGACTATGGATGCAGCCGGAGGGACTTGGCGAAGGCAAACTCAAGGACAGAAGTGGCTGTGGCGAAAAGGAGGATGGTCTCAGAGAGGAAGCGACAGCAAGAAAAATCTTTGCATTGAAGGCACCCTTGGAGGTGCTTCATTACATTGAAAGTACAAATGACAAAATGTTGGAAGCGCATCTAAACTTAGAAATATGACAGCTCCCCGAGGCATTAGAAAAATGCTGTCTCTATTGTATGTGATGAGAGAAGGCAATCACTGTTCAAACTACCCTTGATTTGCTTTTTTTTTTTTTTTTTTTTTTACAAAGAAATAAAATACTTTCTTTTCCAGGGGGGTGGGTGCAGAGGCAGAGGGAGAGAGAGAATCTCCAGTAGACTCCCCACTGAGCACGGTCATGATCTCACGACCCTGAGATCCTGACCTGAGCCAAAATCAAGAATCCCTCGCTTAACCGACTTGAGCCACCCAGGCACCCCAGAAACGAAAAAACTTTCATTTGCAATGTGTCCAATGTTTGAAACTGCAGTGTACTAAATACACATTAACTTTACTATTTTTTTGTTTCTCGATACATTTACAACTGACAGGAAGAGAATTTTAGGTGTTTTGATAAAAATGTCTAAAGGTCACAAAACCCTTATAACTTGTCTCATCGTTTATAAAGATGGCTTTGCCTCCTTCGAGTCTCAAGTTCCAGCTGGCAAGGGCCAGTTTCACAGTCCTGCACGCTGTGGTTAAGCGAGGACTTTCTCTTTGTACATTTTCAAGACTGGATAGTTTTTTTCTCATTCCTGTTTCAACCATTTTCTTATGAAAACTCTCTGACCTTCCCGTGCCTCAGTTTCTTCACTTGTCAAATGGGAATAGAAAGGGCACTCACTTTGCTATGTTGTTGTCAAGTTTTAACAAGCCAAAAAAAAAAAAAGTTTTAACAAGCTAACGCCTGTCAAGCACGCAGCAGAGTGAACGACGTCAGCAAAGCGCTCAATGAATGTTGGCTGCTATTATATTTATGGATCTAGACCAGAGAGAGATAAAAGACCTGAGAGGTCGCCGAGTACCCGTGTGTTATACTAACCACCACTGCTACCTGAATATCTTTTCATATCATTTATTGGCCATTTGGATTTTCCCTTTTGTGCCTATTGGGTAGAGCTATTGGGTTGCCTATCTCTTTCATATTAATTTTGAGGAATTCCTTGATGTAACTAATCACTACATGATGTTACAAATATTTTCTCCCACGTGGGGCTCATCTTTTCACTCACTATTTGGTCTCCTGATGATCAGAAGTATTTTATTTTATTTTATTTTTTATTTATTTATGATAGTCACAGAGAGAGAGAGAGAGAGAGAGAGGCGCAGAGACATAGGCAGAGGGAGAAGCAGGCTCCATGCACCGGGAGCCCGACGTGGGATTCGATCCCGGGTCTCCAGGATCGCGCCCTGGGCCAAAGGCAGGTGCCAAACCGCTGCGCCACCCAGGGATCCCAGAAGTATTTAATTTTAATGTAAGCTCTTTTTCTTTTTCTTTCTTTTTTTTTTGTATTCCTCAGTCTTTATCTCTGTATCTGTGGTTCGTATTCAGAAACTCTGAGAGATGATCTAAATTAGTTGACCAAGCACAATATAGCACAATGTGACTGGATGATACCCTAATGCAAAACTATTTCCTAGGTTCTAGAGAGCCTATATATGTGTCTGTGTTAGGATCAGTGCCAATCTCTAAGGTAGGAGAGTACCATTTAAAACAATAAATGGGAGGCACCTGGCTGGGTCCGTTGGAAGAACATGCAACTCTTGACCTTGGGGTTGTGAGTTCCAGCCCCACGTTGGGTGCTGAGGTTACTTAAACTTAAAAAAAAAAAAATACAACAATAAATGATGGGGGCAAGTGGAAATTAGACAAAGAATAAGATATTTAAGTCAAGAAATATTACTTACTGACAATAAAGCTCTTAATAATCCATACCCAGAGATGAAGAAAATAAACAGAAAGCTTCTTAGAAATTATGTCATTCGGGGATCCCTGGGTGGCTCAGCGGTTTGGCACCTGCCTTTGGCCCAGGGCACGATCCTGGAGTCCTGGGATAGAGTCCCATGT